GCTTGATCCAAATTTCGCCGAAGAAGCGGGCACCGGGGGCACGCCGGGATGAATCCGCACCGATCCCATTGTTCGGCACCGCGACGGCGAGCCGCCGCGGGCCCACAGGAGGGCTCGGAGCCGCGGCACCGGTCCGCGCCGCCAGCGGGGCGTGTTTTACCAGCCTACAACCTGCCCGACATGGCAGTTGCGACGGCGTCTTTTTTCACACACACACACACACACACACACACACTCGGGGCGACGCAAAAGAAAAGAAAAGCAGAAAAAGAATTTAAAAAAAGAATTTTGCCGATGCAGTCGACGCTCGCAGCATGGTCGATACACGTGTGTGGGCCATTGGCGACCTCGAGGCCCCGGGCGCGCTCGAGCGGACGCTCCAGCGCGTGAGCCGGCCGCCGGACGTCGGCTGTACCCCGTCCGCCTCGTGCTCCGCGCAGCGCGAGCTCATCCTCCTCCACGCGAACCACCGCCGGCTGCGCCTCCTCGTCAACCTGGCCGCCCAGCTCCGCGCGTTGCGACTCGACCACACCCTCGCGCTCGGCTTCGGCGCGTCGCTCTGCGACGCGCTGCGCCGCGCGGCGCAGCCTCTCGCCTGCGCGCACTCGAGCTACATGCAGCGAGGTGCGCTGGCCGAGGCCGCCGCACAGCTGCCGTCCAAGCACATCGCGTGGCTGCAACGGTGGTACTACCTGCGGCGGCTGCTCGAGGCGAACGTGCGCGTCGTCGCCCTCGACACCGACATGGCCATCACCGCTGACCCGTTCCCGCTCTTGCGTGACCCGGCGTGGCTGGGCGCGCGACGGGCTCGTCACGGCGCACGACTTCTCAAGGACACGTCCGGGACAGGTCGTGGACATGCCCCACAGGCGCGTACCAGCTCGTCACGACGTACGACTTCAAGGGCGGCTTCGCAAACACAAACATCGGCTTCGTCTGCCTGCAGAATGCGACGCGCGGCGGCCCGGTGCACGCGCTCTTCGGCGAGTTCGAGGCGCGGGTCGCTCGCTCGCTCCCACGAACTAGTGAAACGGCAAGCACTAACTAGCCATGCACTACTTCGAGCCAGACTGCGCTAACCGTATCTTTAGGCGCGGGTCGCTCGCTCGCTCGCCGTCACGCCGCCTCGCGAGCAGACTGCGCGGTTCGTGACGCAGTACATCTGGGACCAGAACCTGTTCAACAAGGTGCTCCTCTCGGCGCTGGCGGGCCACGCGGCCTACCTGCCCGACCGCGCCAACGCCGCCTGGACCGCTGCAAACCGCGCCAAGCTGCGCGCGCGAAACCACTGGCTGCAAGTCGACCCGCCCCTCGCGCCCCCTGGCTGGCTGGGCAGCAGCGGAAAGTACTTCCCGCGCGCGCCGCGCCTGTACGGGCGCAGGCCGTGGGTGCCGATGCGGTACGGCGCCTTGTGGGCTGCGCTGCCGACGGCGCCGCCGGTCGCCGCGGCGGGCGAGGCGAGCTGCCGCAGCGGCGGAGCGCCGGCGTATTGCGGCGGCGGGTCGGAGCGGGTGCTTCTCGCCCCGGCGTGGCTGGTTGCGATGGAGCAGGGCTTGGGGCACAGCCTCAAGGCCGAGGACTACGGCGCGCGGCCTCTCCCGGCCTAGGACCTAGGGCTAGTAGTAGGTGGCGAGGGAGTAGCGAGGAGCTTGTAGTCTGGCTTCGGCGAGTCGAACCCCTCTGCCTGTCTAGGAGCGCGGCCTTGCCCCGCCGTGATCGTCCACTTCTCTGCCTGTCTAGGAGCGCGGCCTTGCCCCGCCGTGATCGTCCACTTCACCTGCACGACCCAGACGGAGCCGCCCCCCCCCCCCCACAAAGCTTTACGTGACAGAGTGATTTTAAAAAAAGGGGTGTGGTGCGCTAGCCGTCGCCCACCCTTGTGAGTTCACTCATACGCACGGGGGCGTATCGCGACTATATACACCCAGCCTAGTTAGGAGCCTGACCGACCCCTCGGGTCCCGGGGCTCACCGACGGCCGG